ATGTCAAGACTAATATTTTCAACTTATAATGAAACAAAATATATAACAATTAATACATTTTTTTTTTCTAATAAATTGAATAATACCAAATTTAAAATTTGCATTTTTTAAGAAACCCCCTTTATATTGGTATTCTAGTATTGTAGATATTTTTAGTTAAAATCATAATTAAAATAAAATAAATATATTTTATTTACAATATGTATAAAATTATATTTAAAAAAAATAATTTATCATTGCCAACTTGGATCATAATTGTGCCATTCTTTAATAGGTGTTAAATACACTCTTCTATTATCATATGTGAAACTAATTATGCCTTTGTATGCAGTTCTTGGAACACCACTTTTGAAATCATCCATCAGACCAAATAGTTTCATTAATGATTTCAAGTTATTCTTAGTATAATATATAATTCTTACAGGATCACTATGGCTAATTTGCTTATTTTTGAGTTCATTAGTACTGACAAGTGGTGCTCTATATACCATTTCCACAAAGTTGTTATCATATTCATCTTTTAATAAATAAGTTAAATTTAATTTGGTAAAATCAACTGGTAATTCATTTAAGTATATATATTTTAGATGTTTTTCATAAAAAAGACCATTGCTAACACCTATTTTCCCAAATGTTTTTGTCCTGGATAGCTCAGGTCTTATACATGATCTACCTTTTCTTTGGTCAGGATGTCTCATCCAATCATCCCAATAACTATKGGGCCATTTATGCATTAATTCTATCCATATTTTACGTGTTAACATCCATCCAAGTCCAGGAAAAAAATCTGACCGATATAACAGCTTTGGGTCATTTCTATCAATCAATGCAAACTTTCCATTGTCATTCCAAGCAGAAACACACCATAAAGTTTCATCTTTTTGAAGGATTGGTAAAGTAGCTTTAAAGTATTCATAAAAATCTGGAGCTACATCCAAATCATCTTCAACAATTATTGCAGTTMCATAATTATATGTGTTAAAAACTTGATTAAGTGCCCATTTGTAGTGTCTTGATATTTTGAAATAACCACTAAATTTTTTCTCTTTAGATGGCACTTTAATTTCTTTTTGATCAGGTTGATGTATATGAATTAATTCTCTGCCAAAACTTTTTATAACTTGTGACGTTCTTTCGTGAATACAATCTTGAGACACAATAATAGGAAAATCATCTTTTGATTTGCGATATTTTAGTAATTTGTTTATGCACCTTGATATAGATGGACGATTACAAGCAATTACTAAAATAGCAACACTTGATGAATTAGAAGAATTGTGTTTGTCAAATTGATAAYTATCTTCGTGGCTTGAATAATTTAACTGTTTAATATTTTCACGTATTAAATTGTGTGTTTCTACTTCAATTTTTAAACGCAATTCTAAATCATCCAAATTTTCATCAAGATAATTATTGGATTTAGCAATGAAATTATCATTGAGTATAAAATGATTAATACCAAGCCATACACATATACTGAACAAAACTAATGCTACAAACCGGTTTTTTTTCATAGTAGCATATAATAACTAAATAGTGGATTTTAATTTAATTATCAATAGTATTTGTATCATAACAATAAAAATCATGTTTCAAAGATGATTATCCAGTTACTTGAATTTTAATACAAATATAGTTTTTTCTTGTTAAAATATAGGTACTTGAAATCTGCAAAAAAATATTTATATTAAATATTTTCAACAATGTAGTTAATTAAATGTAAATTATTGAGGTGTATTCAAAAAATTCAGCCTTACATTTAATGAATACAATTTTTGCAGTATACCATATAATTATAAAACCATTATCTACTTATAATATATATTTAATAAAATTAAAGAGTATTAAAAGAAAAAAGGATGCATAAAATAATTAAAGTTAATATTTAATGAAGGCACATTAGTTCAAGCAAATAACATTAGTCATACATTACACACAAACTTAAACACCAAACACAACTAAGATATTTAATTTGAAATTAATATAAATACAGAATTAAATGAGTAAATATAACCTTTCATATTATTATGTTATATTGTTTAAAGTATTGTTTTACATTATATAGATATTTTAGGTTGAATAAGAT